ACTACAGCCCACTTCTTCGGGCTATGCATCCGAAGAAGTGGGCTGTAGTCCACGAAAGCTTATGCTCTAATAAATTTGTTAGTCTCTAAGGTGCCACAAGTCCTCCTGTTCTTCTTTTTAGGGACTATGTGTATCTGCTGTTACAGCCACACCTGACGGGGAATTACAGGGGTTGGGGCTGTGAAGAAAGTCTGCCTTTAGAAAAAGAGCACACAACGTTGGTGGCTCCGTGGCACAGGGTAAGGTAGAGGGTAGCAGTTAGGACACATTCTGCAGTAACAACTTTATTGAACCTTTGCATGTAATGACAACGTTAGCTGGTGGTCTTGCCTTGTACTGACTGACTCTCTACAAACACGGCATGTGGGTAAATCTCTCAGACATTCCCTGCCCCTCACCGACTCCCTGCAGAGGCCTTTGCCGTACCTTCCACTTTAGGCTTGCATTCTGCCAGCCTCTCTGGGAACTTCTTCTTAAAGAATAACGCCTGCAGCCGCTGCTGGTAGTGATCGATCCTACATAAGGGGAAGCAGAGGGACACCATGACGGCAACGCTCAAACACAGATTCAGCACAGAGACAGTTCATTTTATACACAAAACTGATCCAGAGGTGGGATTACTGAAGCAGCCTGCAGCATATAAAGTCCTATTGCTCCCAATGTCTGTCAGTCAGTGTCAGGTGCTAATATTCAGACTGAGGAATATAGCAGAAGGACATAGGGTTTGTACTTCTACCAGTTGCCCATGAGATATGGTTAGTTTCCAGTCTCTTTCAGAAAGATGCATTTTTATAGTAGACTCCAAATGGGGTAAATGGAAAAGGGGTCCCACCCAGGAGAGGTGTCAGGTTGGGATAGGGAAAGGGACAGATCCCAGTGTGGGGAGGCGGGGGAAAATGTGACAGACAGATGGAAAAGGAGTGTGTGATGAGTCCCAACTAGGAGATCCAGCAGTTGAAAGCCAGATATGAACATCTGTGTACGTGAACAGTGTTGGATGGGTGGAACAAACATGTTCTGGTCAATTCAGAGATTCCCCCTAAATGGCGCCCAGAGAGAGTTCTTACCACCAAGAAATGCTTATATAATGACTTGAAATGTCTTCACATTGTGGATGTCTGGGAGCCCCAAGGCATAATTCAGTGCAGAATCTGGCCCACAATATCTTGATTGTTTTCCATCAATGTCACATTATCCATTTTCTATCACAATTACAGCAGCTCCCAAGAAGCCCCCAGGGCATTTTCTCAGCATGTTACACAGACCTGCTCATTTCATAGAGGAATCGATCAGCCCGGGCCATGCGGTCAATTTCGTGTTTATGTTCCTCCAGCAGGTCGATATCGCTCTTCTCAGGAACAAACTTCAGCAGCTAGAAGCACAGAGGCAAATCAAAAACAAGCATGAGGGATCCAGAGAGAGAGAGAGATACACCCACGCAGATGGAGAGTGAGACCGCATGCAAGAGAGAGAGTGAATTGTTGTGCTACTGTGAGGAAGAGCAGCTCTGATTCCCTCAAGTGACTGAATTCTGCTCTTAGTTACACCAGTGTAAACCTACAAAGAACTTCTTGCACTCCCACAGCAGATTTACATTGATGTAAGTGAGTAGAATCTGCCCCTCCAAGTGGGGATTATCTATTCCACTCACCCTACAGTATCACACAAAGCCCCAACTATCTCTCTCCTCTCCTGCCCTGCTCTGCAGAAACAATAAACAATATCTAAGCCACTGTATATGTGCCTGACACAGGCTGCTATTCATGTGCTGACCTTAAAAGCGCATACTTTGACAGATTTTTGACATATCTGGTGGGAGTCGTGCTTCAATCTGGTTATAAATATTGTCATGCACACCCCCCGGCCCACATTCACGGGGAGCAAATTGCCTGCGAGGAACACCAAGCAGTGGATCTGCTTTTTATCATTGCTCTAATATTTTATCTAAAGAAACCAACAATCTGATATTGAGATACAGAGCAGCTGAATCTCTCTGACACATCAGGGGAGCCAGGCACAGGCTTGTAAATTTTTGTGTATACAATTAAACATTAAGGTTGAGCATAAAAAGGGACCATCTCCTATAGAGGGATCAGAATAATAAAGAAAGAAGAAGCAGCTGACGACTTTGCACTTTTTAATGCAAGGATCTCTAAGCACTATCCAAATATGGGTAAGCATCATTACCCCCATTTCACAGACGGGAAAACTCAGGCAAAGAGTGAACCAACAGCAGAATTGGTAATAGACCCAAGGTCTCCAGTTTGCTGCACTAATCACTAAACCAGAAATGAAGTAAAGGAGAATAGCCAACAAAAAAAGGAGAAGTGGGTTGAATAGGAGAGCAGAAGTAGAGGGAAAGTAGAAATGAAGAGAAAGAAAAACTATTACTAATAAAAAATCATAACCACACATTCTCTAGATCAGGAAACTGAAGTGATAATGTAATAGAAAAACTTACTGAACCAGACTCTTCCAGGTGTGACTCCATCAAAATCACCAGGTATGCATTTGTCACACTGGGCAAAATTCTCCTCTTTTACATGAGCACAATTATGTCTCAGGGCCAAATTCAGACCTACTATAAGCGGAGGCATTTCCAGTGAAGTTGACTGAGCTGCATCCACTTATCCTAGGTCTTAAATGGGCCCAATGAGCTGCTCCAAGAGGAGAAACTGGCCCATTATCCTTAGACCAACCATTGTAAGAAGTAATTGTGATTCTTCTCACCTGCTCCAGCATATCTTTGGCCAAGTCTTCTTGTTCATCCATCTTCAAGATCGCCCGTTTGATTTCGTCATTGGACAGCTTCAACCTTTCAATAGTGTTAATACTGCCCCATTAGTAATTTGAGGAATACAAAAAGCCCCCCAGAAAGCACAAGGCATAAAAGGCCACATTGACAGCTTCAACACAGGGCCTCCTATGACACTCTTCTCCTCCTCCCTTCCTCCCCCCCGCTTTGCTAGTCTAAAGAAGTCAGTCGCCTTCGTTAAGATGATCTAATCAATTCTGGTGTACAAAGACTTTCCAGATAATACTTTTTTTTCCCCTCTTCAGCTAATCGAAGTCACATCAAAAGCAGGAGAAGAACAACAACAACAACAACTGGCTCCTCATAGATCAGAATTCCTTTTATCTTCCCTCATCACAGACACCTTCCTTTTCAAACACTTTTACTCTTCACACCCTGAATCTACATACCATTGAATCCAACTATGAACCTAAGCTTCACCTCTGGGAATATTAAAGCATCTCCTGGCCACTGAGTAATGGTGTTGAATCTTCCCTTCTGGATCAGGGAATAGGTTTGTTTTGTGCAAGTGTATTGGTTTTGCTTGAGAAATTCACTGTGCCAGCATTCACAGCTGAAAAGGGAATTGACAGCATGAATTTAGGCAAGTAGTGAGTTATACCCCTCAGCAGTGCTAGCCACTTCAAGATAGGAGCTCCTGTGCCAGACGGTCAAGGTGGTAAAATTATCATCCTCCTCTCACCAGCCTCTGCCCTCTTCTTTAGAGGTCTGCAGTTAATTAGGCAATCAGTTATAGCAAAACAAGCAGGGCTCAGTGAATTGATCAAAGAGTCTTTTCACTTCTAGGTCACCAGTTCAAATCCAATGCAGACCAGCAGCAATCAAAACTTGTTACCATCTAATGGCTGCCAGCTGGCTTTTCTGAAATGGGCTTGGTGGTCCACAATCCAGTTCTTAGTGAACTGCTGTCCATATTTACAAAGTCCACACACCATATTTGACATCCTCATTGGTTGTTCCGAGATGGAATGGACCACAAAGGGAACTGCCGTCTTACTTCCAAAGAAAGTCTCTACATCAGGGGTGAAGCTTACAGGCAAGGCAAGGCAAAGTGAGGAGTGGGAGGGGAGAGGAGAAGCTTTTGTGCAGAAAGGACTTCAGTCTCCATGGACTTTCCTCAATCAATGCATTACTTAACATTTAGTAGAGGGGGGAAAACAAAAATAAATGAGTCATGGGGTTGATGAATGCAGCAGAATGTTTTTGTCTTCAGTGCTGAGAAACATCACGGTAACATTTTATGCTGCTATTGCCATTTGGATAGGATCACGTTTTTGGAACTATTCAAAAGCAAATGTAAATGCTTTATTTTTACAGACAGGAAATATTACTAAATCTGAGAAATTTAAATCATTTTAATGTTGCCCAATATAATAAACAGCTGGGAACTAAAATATGAATCAGCAGACATTCAAAAGCTTTTTAAAAATTATGCTTCCTAACTAGCTTCAGCTATGCTGTTCCCAACTATTCATCCAGTCTGTTTTAGAAATGAAGCTATAGTAGAAATGGTGCACAGGGCCAACTGCCAGCACAAAAGGTAAGGAAACTAGATTTCCATACAAGGCATACAGTTGAGTCACAGTTAGAAGAGAGGAGAGGATTAAAAGGCTCGGAAATGAAAGGTTGGAAAAAAACATTTTACTTCTAGGTTACCAGGTTGACTCAAGCTCAACTCAACACAGGGGGAACTGGGTGAAATTCTATGGCCTGAATTAAACTAGAGATCAGACTAGATGATCTAATGGTCTGACCCCTTCTGCCCTCAAAATCTATCAGTCTTAAAATCTGTGAGTCTATGAACTTGCTAGTGATCAAAACCGGTTACAATCTGATGGCTGAAGAGCCTAATGTGAAATGATTTGGTGGGTCTCTGCCTACTTCCTAGCCGATGCATACACATTGTGGCTACATAAATGTTGTGGTTTTGTTTTTCTTGGGACTGCACCTTTACATTTCTAGGAGACTGCTCTCTGCAGGAGGAAGGTGCCATATTGTGAGGCAGAGATCCTGCAGACTTTACAGAGGAGACATGCACACCGTGCTCTCACATGGAAATCTAACTTTGTCTTTACTCTGATTTTCACCCTGACCTAAAATAGAAACAATTCAGGCTGAGAGGATATGGAAAAACATAGCATTCGTTACGTAGATCATCCTCTCCAACTGGCATCAGTTTCAACAAGGGGCCCAAAACTGAACAGACAGGTTTGAGGTACATTGGCAAAGACAGTGGGAGAAGCTCATGTTGCTGCTGGTCACTAATCTGTTCTGTGGCCTAACTGAAGACTTCAGTTTCCAACTCCATCGACCTGGCACCTTTCACCAGCATCAAAATCACTTCATGCATCTTTTGTTCAAAACTATTTGAGAGCCCCAAAATGACAGACAGCTACATAAACACTGATTTTTTGGCTGCATCTGTGCCCAACCACAAGCAGGAAAATATCTGGCTTGGTTGACCCAGTCCATATTAGAGAGTACCATAAAGCTTGCCCAATCATCTGCAAGGAGGCAGTTGAGCTTGGTCACTTGCAAGCGGGCATCCCATACTATTATAGATCCTATTAAATCTGATAGAAGGGTCTCATCAAAATGGGGTTTATTTTTCTGTTGGGGCAGTAACTGCTTGTAACACTTGAAACGTCAACAGCACAAACATGGATTCCCACAGTTAGAAGCCAGCTGAACAACTGGCCCGAAGGTTGTTAATCAAACGATTCTCGTTATATTTTCGAAACTCCCAATCAGCCCTGTAGAAGATCTGAAAATCTCCAACAGTAACGTGAAACAGATGTGTTGCATTTAAACAGAAACAGGTGAACTGATTAAACAGGAACCTAAAGCAGATGCGTAAAATCTTTCCATTCAAGACTGAATAGAGGTTTCCCTGGCGTGTGGTACAGACACCAAATTAAAGTGTATTTATGGCCCAAAAAGTGACACTGTAGAAATTACAGCTCAACATTGGAGAGTTATTCTCCAACATCAGTGACTTTCTTACCAACTCTCCAGAGCCAAAGATTATTTATCCAACTGCCACAGTCCTCCAGACTCCAAATGGCATGTGTAATTCCAGCTGCGTCCTCTCTGCTTCATATATCTTCACTGACAACAGAGATCTTGGCCACAAACCCAGCTGGTGACATGTGACTTAAAAGGGAATGCAGCACCCTCTTCTTCAGCTACAATAGGCTTCGTCTATAGTGCAGACAGTGCCCAAACCTGCATTCAATCCTGCCCCAGCCTTGGGCAGATGGAAAAGGACCTAAAGAGCCGTGGAAGGAATCCCACCCTCTTCTCCTTGCCCATCCCTCCCCGCATGGTGATGGAGCAAGGAGACCCAACTGCTTGTGGCTTCTTCTAGTGGCATTAAAGCTGAACAATTACTAAATAGCTTCTAATATGGTACTTAGCTTCCCTCCCTCTATCCCCTCTGGACACATAAATAATCCCTATTGACTCTGCAGAGTAATTCATCACTAATCTCCCCAGGACACCTCGGCTGATTTAACGCCAGCTTCACTTGCAGACATCAAGTGGCTTATTGTTTGGTCCTCTCAGAGAAAGACGTCTGCCTGACTCAGAACATGCCCGAGAGACATGCCGTCGTTTCGCATCAATCTCCCTTACAGACATCCAGCACTTTCTCATTTTTCTTCCTTAAAGATATCCATTGATTCAAGCTGGTGTTACCCCTTCCCCCTCCGCTGCAAGACCAACACAGTATACCCATCATTCAGCCGCCAACTCTCTCCAGAAAAGGAAAGAGCAACTCAGTTTACTGCTCCACTCCTGGGCAAGTACTGTTAGGTCTTGCTCAGCTTTCAAAGAAGTGCAGTCACCTACTGCCAGAGTACCATGAAGTTATTCAAAGTATGCTAACTTTTCCTACCAAGAGGATGTCATTCCCACTCTTCCTCTCTCCCTGGGAAAAGAAATCTCTCATCTTTAACCAAGATCATTTACCTTTTCAAAAAGGATTCTTGTGGTTCTTGTGACAGGAACTGGGATTGGCAGCCCCGGAGACTGACAAGCTCTTTTTACTCACAGAATAGGTATAGCAGCACGGAACTCCTCCTCCACACACACATTCTCACATGCCCCATTGAATCCTGACCTAGAGAGATGGCTGTAGGGTAAGAAGGAAGCTCATGTGCCATATGATCTTGGCTTTTACTGAAACTACCAGCCAAGGCTGGCACATGGTATGTTTTTGGGATGCGGATATTTGTCTTAAAGGAAATGGAAGGACTCCCTCTCCCCCACAACAGTCACCAAACTGCCATTCGATAATAGTGCCTGCTATTCACTGCCAAACCTGGCTGAATTTGAACTGGTGGCCACATCCCATGACTGATCCCCTGAGCTATCCCTATAATACACAAGAGTAAGCTAAACTGATACACTGATATAAGCCCGTTTACAAGTGTTCACACACACAGCTGCACCGTTTAACATCATCTCTTTTGTTAAGCCAGTGCAACTTGTGTGTGCAGACAAACCTTCCCAGTTACATGGAGAGAAAGTCCTAATTGCCTTCACTTCACTTTGCTTACAGAGAAATGTCACTCCTCTTTAACTGGGCTCCAACGAGTTATTTCCAGACAGAGGTTAATTACTTCATTCCAGGAAGATGGTAACCCCACCTGTTCCTGCTCAAGGAGAGAGATGCTCACTACCCTGTGTGGGAGGGACAAGGAGAAAATTTTTGGCTCCCTTTCACACTTAGGCTGATCCCAAGTGAAGCATGCAGAGGGGTTGAGCTAGTCTTGCTACTGCTTCTCCCAGCAGGGAGTGACTACACAACCTTCCAAAGCGACCTTCTCTCACAGCTGCCAGCACAGCCTGCTAGAGGTGAGGAGAGATGCTGCCATCACTGCTAGGTGATGCGGTTGCCATGGCAGGGGCTAGGAGTGCTCTGTGGGAGTGGTTCCATACCCAGTCTCCTTCATGTCTGGACTGAAGGGGTTGGAAGTGCTGAGAAGGCAGTACCATGT